GGGGGGGGGGGGGGGGGTGCGTGTTGGGCGGCCCACCCGCCAGGCGCAGGCGCGGCCGCCCCAGCAAGGAGGAGGCCCTGCAGGACGCTCTATGATGTGGGAGGGGGAGAGGGGGGAGGGCCGGGCATGCGACGGCAGCAGGGCAGTAGTGCAGACGGGCGCCGCTCGCTGCACGGCTCAAAGCTCAACGCTTATCCGACAACTACTACTGTGTTCTTGCAGCGCCCGTCGCCGTCTTCCGCACCCCGCAAATAACAGCGAGTATCATCAGAAGCAGCAGCAGCAGCCATGGCGTCCTCCGCGCTCAACGTCTGGTCCGTCGAGAACCCCACCTTCCGCGCCTACGCCTTCTACAGCGGCGTGCTCGTCATCAAGATGCTGGGCATGGTGTTCCTCATCGGGCGACAGCGCTTCGCCAAGAACGTGAGTATCTCCGACGTGTGTTGTGTGTCTGTGTATCGAGCCGCGGCGGGGGCGGACATGTTGCCGACGGATAGGCACGCGAGTGTGGCTGCGGCCTCGAACCGCGTAGACACGCAGCAGCACCGCGACCACAAATGACAGGCGCGCGCCTCGCGTTTGTCGTAGCGGTAGTGTGATGGGACCCGCGCTGGGACTCGCTGGGACCAGGTTGCCGCGCGTACAGTGCGAGGAGTACCCCAGCGCAGGCCGTGACCGTCGACGGGAAGGTCAGCGTCAGGTGTGGTGGGCGCGGCAGCGGCAGCCGCGGGGGCCTAAGCGCGTAGTACGGCGCTGCGCCCGTCGGCGAGGTGCAGGCGACATCTAGCGGCGGCGCCACAAACCACGACGCCGGCGGCTAGAGTCTCTCTAGCACGAGCCCTACACTTGTGAGGAGGGCGTCCGAATAAAGCGGCCCACTCGTCTTTTGGACCAACCGCATGACCACAGCTCTGGAGTAACTGGGTGGACCCGCGCCTGAAACATGCAGAGTCACGCTGATACTGGGGACGTTGGGGCGTAGACCCGGGTGTGATGACACATGACCTTGACACCGAGTATTGGGAGAGGTGAGTCGGGCGGCCCGGGCGGCCCGTCTCCCATTGCTCCCAGTCACCAGTGCGGCCTGGGAGGGAAGCCCCCGCCCGTCTCCTCCATGTGCGAGAGAGACAAACGCGGCGGCGACGCCGCCGGGCGGCCGGCTGGACGTCGAGGTGGTGGGGCCGGGTGGGACGGGACGGAGAGAGCGGAGTGGCGGAGAGAAGAAGTGACTTGACTAGCTTGACTACACGGCCAGCCAGCCGCCAGTCCGCCCCACAGAGCGCCCGCGTTGCTTTCGTCCGTCTTCCACGCGCACGCACAACACCATGTCGGCCGCCGGCTCCCCGCAGCAGCACGCCTGGTCCACGGCCAACCCCGTGTTCACCGCCTACGTGTTCTACAGCTGCGTGCTGGTGCTCAAGATGCTAGCCACCACGCTGCTCGTGGTGCGCCAGCGCCACACCAAAAAGGTAAACAAACGTTCCGGCGGCCAGTGGTAGAGCGAGCGAGAAAGAGGCCAGTGTAGAAGGACAGTCAGTGAAAGTGCTCGCGCCCCCCCCCCCCTCTCTCTCTCTCCCCCGCATCATTTGCAGTACTCACTGTCTTGCACTTACGTAGGGCCCGGTGCGCCCGCTAGCGCCCGCCTGGAGCCGGGGTAGGCCGCGCGCTGGAGCGCCTGTGCGATGGGCTGCCTACCGGCGGGCGGTAGCGCCGCCACGAGGATGAGAATGACTCGCCACTTCCAAGCACCACCACAAGCGGCCAGATCTGACTCGCGACTTGCGCAACGGCCACTACCTAGCGAGCGCCCACCTGACGCCAAAACCTTGTCCGACTGTGCGTGCACGGCCAGATCTGGAGAGGGCAGTGTTGTTCCTCCCCACTTCTACTTATCTTACAACTTTTTTTTTATCTCTTGTTTGCAGGTTTTCATGAACCCCGAGGACAAATTGGACAAGAATAGCAAGGTCCTGCCCGGTGGTGACCCGGACGTCGAGCGACCACGCCGGTACGTCTAATTTATCTATCGAGTCACAATCGCGTTTGAAGTTTGACTCAGTCATGCAGGTCATGACCTCCAAACTCCCTTAAAATAACGCCTCGTCGATAGCCAATAACTATCAGTGCAATTCGCCTACAAGTAACTCGTGGACAGTCGTTTATGAAACGCCCCCTTTTTTATCTAAATCACCAGGGCGCACCTCAACGACCTCGAGAACATCCCGGCCTTCTGGGTCGCGGGCCTGCTCTACTGCCTCACCAACCCCGCGCCCGCCCTGGCCCTGA